ATGAAAAGCTGTACTAAAGTGTGAGTATTACTCTACTGGGCGAAAAGAGCCAGATACTTACTCAATACTCGGGTCAGTACTAATAGTACATACTATACTAAACATTCCCGTGAAGCATTCCACCTACAACAGTTAGGCTCTCGCGTGACCCCGCAAAATCGTGTATGCGCGTGGGCCGATTATTCCTTCTTTTTTTTTTAGTGTTTGTGTTTTTCCAAAACAAATGTTGATCCGCACTACCGGCTGGTGACTCCAGAACGCGTTTTGACTTGATATTAGACTATGAACTGGCATCGCGGAATAGTCGCTCCCACAAACGAACTGGCTCTTGGTATTTGACAGAGACCTGTGAACAGACGATATGGAGGGAACTACACCTGTCAGTTTTTGGAATAGACGTCAAAAAGCCGTTAGTCTAATAACAAGTGATTTTCGGTGTTTTTCAGCGGCGGCCTCGTACGTGTGTGGCGATTGCGAAATTCGCCACAGGTAAAGCCACAGCTCTCGTTCCTGCCGAGGCAACACAAAAAACCGCACCACAATCCACCACTCCGACGCCACATAGCACGTGTTGCAAGATCGGGTACAGATGGGTAACCAGAAGACAAAGGCTAAGGGCATTCGTTACGATGTATTTTTTTAGGCTGTCTTTTTTTCAAAAAATGACAACTGGCCATACAAGTATAGCCCCGTGTTACAACGTCTTTTTTTGCTAAAATATGACAACGAAAAAATGACGAACCTTTTATGACAGCCTATCCTGTCATTTTTTGGGCAACCTTTTGACAGGATGCGCTTGTCAAAGAAACTTGTCATTTTTTCGTCACGCGCCGACGTTGCTGGCACACACACGAAGCATCGCCAATGTGGAGGTGGCTGCCATCGCTGGCACTCCTCGCTGGCGGCGGGAGTGCCACTTGCTTGATTGACTCCACCCTACATCAGCAGCCTGGGCTCTCTTCCGATGGCCGAAACCGGTGTGGGTGATGCCCTGCTACCAGCAACCGCTCTTGCTGTGGCCTTGGTCGCCCTTGATGAGGTCCAACGCAACGACTTGTCGCAAGAAGAGGAGGAGGATCGTGCGCCCGACCTTCCCCGCCCTAAACTCTTAAGAGGACAGCGAAAGAGGAAAGACGTGGAGAAATGCGCTTGGGCACAGATGTTGGAGAATAAGGACCTCGAGGACAGCAACAGCAAAGCCTCCAAGCAGTTTCGCCTTGACTTCCGCGTCCCCTATAGCTTCTTTCTGCGGCTCGTGGCGTTGGTGAAGAGCAAGGACTGGTTCACAACTTCTGGCTGCGATGCAGCAGGTCGGCAAAGCCACCCAGTGGAGCACAAGGTAGGCTGACGGCACATTGGGTTCGTACGAGTGCAAACTCTGGCCTATAACCAAGAAGGGGAGCTGCTGTGGTGCAGAGTTGAACATATGTAGCGGAGGGACAACTGCTGTAGACAACATTTTTCTATTCCTCCTGTTGTCAGCTGCATGCCGTCTCTGGGGCATGCCCGACACGACTCGCTTGGTAACCGCTGGCCGTGTTCGCACAGTCGGGCTCAAACATGTTACTCAAATCGTACAGCAGTACAAATGCTCTGTCCACAACCAATAAGGAGGGGACTGCTGCTGCTGCTGTTGTGTAGCGTGCATCACAAAGGCGCAGGAACCAGGCGCATTTTGTATTTGTGTATGCAGCTGCATGCCGTCTCCTGGGCATGTCGTTGACGAGACGCGGTTGGTGACCACCGGCCGTGCTCTCCAACCCTCGAAAAAAGTGCACCCGGCCGCTCTGCTGTCGTGCACAACAGCATATGTTCACCGGACAGTGTTTCGTCGGTGTTGTCTGTAGGTACAGCATGATGTACACTTTTGGTTCAACTGCTGCTATGTACAACTGCAGCACCACCGTTGTGACGTAACATCGGGTTGAACTGGCGTCCCAGATAACGCAGGAGAAGAGCGCTGCAGTCGGCGCGACATCGCAAAGCTAAATTGGCAGTCGTTCTGTTGGCTAGCATACGGCGCAATGCTCAGTGCTCCCGCCCGTGAGATGCTTCCACACGACGTACGGTGTACGCAACCACATCACATCACTAATAATGACACCGCGATATCCCGTGTGT